GTTATTGAATTATTCTCATCCACGATGACGTCATTGATTAGGGGTGGGGTGGTGATGCTGGTTGTCAAGAGCACGAGGGACGCTGGGAGATGTAGTCCTGAAGACGCCACGGTTCCCACCAACAGGAAGCACAAAGACTCCATCCAGCTGAGCATGGTGGTCGAGGTTAGTGCCTCGCTGCTCCTCCTCCACATCTTCACATGTGTTGCACTCCACTATGACAAGCACAATTGGCAGCAGCATGAGGGGGCTGGTGCCATTGCTGCCACAGCAGCCGAGGGGTGGGGCATCGCCAGGGATGACATCACAGTTCACGACAGGCGCCTCTGCAGGTATAGGGGCTGCCTATGTCCAGTCCTGCAGTGCTGTGACTATGTCAAAACTGCGGAGACGTGGTTGACTGCGGTGATGTTGTCCTCCAGACAGGGTTCATCAAGAGAGGTCGTCGGATCGTGTGACAGTTAAATTATTGGATTTTTAAAATCCGTGACCACGGCGTCCTTCGTGAGCTGGGTGTTTTCTTTCCTCCTGGGAGCTGATGATACGAAACCGTACAATTAATTAATAACTTAATTATCTAAAGCCTTCATGTCGTAATCTGTGAGCAGTGAGGTTTGGAGCCACCTTGTGGGTGTCAAGGGTGACAGAACTTCTCCTCATCTGATTTTCTAATTATTCAGATCTGTTATTATCTATGTGAGCATGAACAGAGTCTGTCTCCCCCTTCTTGGAGGTAATTGTGCAGCATCATATCATTATTTGATCACTTCAATCAAATTTACAGGTCTTGTGTGTCTCCCCAGGGGTGAATAATGGGATGTTATCTCACTAATTGATTATCTACATATTTAAGTCATTATTATTGAATTATCTAATTATTTAAGTCGTTCTTCACATCATCCATGGGAGCTTAAATTTGCTGTCACCTTGTGGGAGTTAATATGCAAGATCATTACTTACTTGCTGTATCTTTTTTATTACTTTAATTTTAAATAGCTTGCTTCACATGTCAATCCCAGTTCCCTCTCCCTCCCCTCCTTCTGCACCCCCACCATCCACCCTACCCTCCCACCCTATCACTACTTCCTTCCACATAGGGCATATCTAGATTCTGTCATTTCACTCAGGGCAGGGTCCAGGCACTCAACTAAGAGTCCAGCCTGAGAAAGCATCCCTCTTTGTGTTATGGACACATGAAATCCGTTTGTATGCCAGGGATAAACACTGATCCACTGCTCAGGGCAGCATAGGTTGTGCAATACTCTTCACTGACTCTAACATTCAGAGGGTCTAGATCAGTCCCATGCTGGCCTGCCAGCTGTTGGTCTGAGGTCCAAGAGCTCTCCCCTGTTTGGATCAGCTGTCTCTGCTGCTTTTGCCAGCCCATTCTTTGCCAATTTGCTCAGCGTGCCTCTCTCTCTGTCACTGCGTGCTATGGGTTCAGTTCAGTGTTTAACTGTGGGTTTTGCCTCTGCTTCCATCAGTCACTGGATGAAAGCTCCAGGATGGTTATAGACATCAAGTTCATTATCAGGAATGGGCATTCGAGTTCATTATCAGGAATGGGCATTCGAGGTGTTCTCTCCATTATTGCTTACCTTGAAAATTGTTGTCATCCCTGGTGCTCAGTCCTCTCCCTAGCTAGTGGCCAACGTCACAGAGGCCGGAAATTATGACATTGATGAGGCCTCTATCATGGGGCGTGGGACGACCTGCTCTGTGGACTGCGAGTTCTGGTGGGAAACAACAGTGGCAGCTGAGGCAGAAACCTAGGATGCCAGTAGACTGCCCGGGCATGTAGAGAGAAGTTGCATGCCAGGAATGTGCAGGGCTGATGGTGGCCCTGCTAGCAGTGTTCACTGCCAGGGCCTGAGTCTGTCGGTCTCACAGCAGGTGTCCTCGATGATGAGGGGCAGAGCCTGACCAGGCAGAGACAGAGGAACTCTGCATAGGAAACCGGAGACCTAGGGTTCCTCGGTGCACTTCTGACGCGGCCAGGCTGAGTGTGACCCCTTGGATCTTTGGTCCAGAATTGCTTGCTTTCCCAGGCAGCCTGGAGCAGGTGGCTGCCATCGGTGGTGGCCATCCTACAGGAGTGGATGGGGCAGGAGATAGAGGAAGTGCCCTAGGCTGAGTCTGCTTGAAAAACTGGCAAAAATCTGTGTCTGCTTCCCCGAGTGTCCTAGTCCACAAGTGCATGGCACTGGGGGCTAACTTCTCTGTGTCTGCATGGCTAGGCAGTGTCGTAGGGCGCTAGTTCCTTCATCAGAAATGTCACGATGCTTGTGTGTGCCCGATGCTTGTAGGTGCTTTTAGTGTTTACTTTTTCTTCCCTGTCAAATGGGGCACTGACATGTATAGAGTTTTATTTCAGGCACATCGGTGTGGTAGTGAGGCTGGAATGCACAGGAGAATTGAGGTAACCTTCATATAATTAGGGGAGATGAGAGCTAGAGAAGTGCAGAAGAAACGTGAGCAGGACAGGCGAGCGGTTCAGCTACAGTGTAAGATTGAGCTCAAATTTGGAGAATGACAGATAAGTAAGAAGTTAGTAAGTGGTTTGAAGTGCCAGCGGGTGAAGATGGGCTGAGGTTAGAGTTTTGAAGTGTAAGCCTGGGTCACCTAAGCAGATTTTGGAGTAGCGAACTGGGTGGACTCTTTAGGAACTCACAAAGAACCCGGAGGAAGAGGGCAAGGAGACAGCTGAGGATGAGTGTAGAGTCACTGTAGTGCACTGTCACAGAAGCTCAGAATTCAGGGAGGTTTCATGGAGTGGAAAGCGTGGTCAGCGACTTGGAATGACAATTTGTAGTCACATTGTACAGTTGAAATACGTGAACCACAAATATTAGTTTTAAATATTCCAACAGAGACATTTGTAAGGGTTACAAGAAACATGTGAAATTGGCTTTAATGATTTGTCAATCCAGCATGGCTAAAAGTTTTATTTTAACATGTACCCAGTGTAAAAAGTAACTTGTTTTCCTCTCTAGATAGTAGTCTTGTCAGTGAACTGAAGCAATATCTGATTCTACAGTATCCTGGGCACATGTCACAGATTTTCGTTGTGTAAAAGAAACCCGGTTCCTCTTTGATGCAGGAAGAATTCTTCTTTGGTTTTCATAATGCCTTGCCCAGTTCCTTGTTTAATTTGAATAAAGCATGAATTTAGGCAATGATATGTATCATTGGCTTACAAGTTAATTAGATTTAAATATTCAGTTTTAATTAAAAATTTATTCTATATGTATTCTATACATTTCCACAGAAGTTTAAGAAAGTGACTCACAATAATAATAACTTCGTTACAGAATTATTAAAATAACATTGGGGAAAAGAGCCTTTATAGTTGCCAGGTTTGGTGGCATGCTTTTGGAGTTCATGTCTTATTTAATCATGTTCCTCCTTAGATAGTATAATCCAGAACAAGTTCTCTGGTTTTATTTTATTCGTTTACTTATTCCCTGACACAAGTCTAGATAGTTTATAAAGTATTTCTCAGAGCTTGAGATTGCTTATTATTTGTTCAGTTTCAAATCACATATTTTTTTCACAAGTGTTTCATGTTGTCTTTATTCCTAGTTTTGGTGATGCTGAGTTACTTAAAGTGATCAAAACTCAACTTAATAAGAGTGTTGTTTTCTCATTAATAATGTGTGGGTTAATATGTTGTGATTTTGTAAGTACTTAGTAAACAGGTTAAAAGTTTTTTAAGTGCTTTCATACAGTGTATTTTGATCATTAGAAGTTTTTTTTGTTTTTTTTTTGAGAAAGGATTTCTCTGTATTGTTTTGGAGGCTGTCCTGGAACTTGCTCTGTATACCAGGCTGGCCTTGAACTAACAGAGATCCACCTGCCTCTGCCTCCCGAGTGCTGGGATTAAAGCGAAGGCCACCAACGCACGGCTCATTAGAAGATTTTTAACAGTTGTTGATTCTTAATCTTATGCAGACTAGAAACAATGTTTAGATATCTTTATGATTTTTATTTAAAATTATATTTTGAGGTTCAAGACAGAGTTAACCAAGCTAACCTCGAACTCAGATACACACCTGGCTCTACTTGCAAAGTGCTGGGATTAAAGGTGTATGCCATTTTGCCTGTCTTTTTATTTATATTATGTCTGTATTTTGACTGTGTGAACCACCCCGTCCTGTGAGTCACAATTCTTATTTTGGTTTTGAGGTACGAGGAATAGGATATAAGATTTATTAATGAGGACTGGGGGCAAAGATTCAGTTCAGGGGAAGCAATACATTGTCCAAAGAGACTGCAATCAGTCACACACAATCCTATATCATATTATTAAAATAATTCATAGAATAAATGAATATTCTCCCCCTCCTGTTTTCTTGTGTTAGGAGTCAGTAAGGTTCCTTTTTCTTTTTCTTAAGGCTTCATGGGTTTTCTCTTAAGACAGCATTTCTCAGTAGCTATGGAGCCAGTCCTGGAACTCACACTGTCGACCTGGTCCCTAGACCAGGCTGGCCTTAAATTCAGAGAACTGCCTGCTTCTGCCTCCTCAGTGCTTGGATTAAAGGCATGTTCTATGATTGCCCGGATTATTTTTGGTGTTTTCAGACAGGGTTTCTATTTGTAGTCCTGGTTGTCCTGGAAGTCATTCTCTAGATCAGGCTGGTCTCAAACTCCTGAGTGATAAGATTAAAGTGTGACACCACTGCCTGGTTAAAGCCTTATGTTTTTTTTGTTTTTGTTTAAGCAATTTGTTTTATGTCTCATGTTTATGGGTGGCTTAGTAATTTATTTTAAGAAGCTTAGTTACTGGCATGATCTTGCTAAGCTTTTTCTTTTTGTGGTGGTGGTATTTTGAAACTGGGTCACATATTGTAAACCATTCTGCCATTAAACTTGTTTGTTCTACCTCAGCCTCCTGGATCACAGGTGTCAACTACCACACTCTGTAGCATTTAATTGTCATCTTACTTGTCTTGAAAACTATTTCATCTTGTTAAGTGGTAAATTCTTATTTTTCTTTTGTAGAAATGTGGCTTGGTGTTGAGCTGGATGAGAGTACAAGGATCTTCTGAAAAATTTCAAGGTATACATATTTTCTTTATTTGTTGCTACCGCTTTAACCTGCTTGCATAATTCACTTAACTTGTTTCGAAGCTCAGAGATTGTTTATGTCGTGAAAAGTGCTATAAACTAATGCTGGGTGGAAGTGGTGCATACCTTTAATCCCAGCACTTGGGAGACAGAGGAAGGTGGATTTCGGTGTGTTAGAGGCCAGCCTGGTCTACAGAGCAAGTTCCAGAACAGGCTTCAGAGCTATACAGTGAGACCCTGCCCTGAGCTTTTCCCCTAAAAATGTGCTAAAAACTCTACCTATTAGATATTAAGAGGTAGTAGAAGGTTATATTTTGTGTTTCAGTGTTTTGGGGGCATTTCAAGTTTTTCTTTTACTAGATATAGTTGTATTACTTTAATTATTTTTCATTTAGTCCTAAAAGTGGGTCTACTTGGTATGTCCATTGGGAATAGAGTTCATACAGTTTGTCAGATATTAGGTAAAATAGAATGTTTCCTCATCTATTGATATGGAAGGAGGACAGTAACTAATTGATAATGATAGTATATGTTATAGAAATACTGCTCTTTAGCAAGAATTATAGGCAAATCTTTTTTTGTTGTTTTTTCAAGACAGATTCTCTGTGATGTTTTGGAGGCTGTCTTGGAACTTTCTCTGTAGAATAGGCTGGCCTCGAACTCACAGAGCTCTGCCTGCCTCTGCCTCCCGAGTGCTGGGATTAAAGGCTTGCACCTCCACCGCCCAGCGACAAATCTTTTTGTAGAATAGACCAATATATTTTTGTGCATTCAAGTACATATGAAGTGGTGAATATTATTAAGTATGATTATTTCTTATATCTTACAGATGTGGAAATAGTCCTGCTACTATGCTTTTTGATTTTATTTTGCTTTGCTTTTTTGAGATAGGTTTTCTCTGTGTAACAGGAATTGAATTGTACACCAGCCTGACTGAATTCACAATGATCCCCTAACTCTGCCTCCCCAGTGCTGGGATTACAGGTGTGGGCCATCACTTCTTGGCAAATCCTGCTACCCTTATGACACATTTTTTCCTGTCCTCTCCTCTATTTGGGTTATTGAAAAGAGTGGATGTTATAGGAGATAGAGGAGGGATTTAAGGTTAAGGAAAACATTTTTTTATAATTTGAAATCAAGAAAATATCACAAGGAATGTATTGTGTGAATATGTAGACAGTTGAATTATAACACAATGTGAACTGTTTTTAAAAAATCTTGCGTGTTCCTCTGCATATCATCTATAGATTTCCAGTGGCACCATGTATTCCTTATCCAGTCATCAGCAAGGTTCATTGAATTGTAATCTTTGATTATATGTGTGTGGTACTAGTTGTGAGATTTGTGATTTTATTACTGTTATTATTTAGTTTTAGATTAGATTTTACTGCCAAGTTGGTAGGTTTTTTCTTAGTTGTGTTAATAGCTGCAAAAAATGTTAAATCATGACATTTTTACATTAATGTATGTAAATACATATTCCTTTCTATTTTACTTTTAGGAGGATATAAATGCTATAGAAATGGAGGAAGGCAAAAGAGACTTGATATCCTGAGAGATCAGCAAATTCAGTGACACACACAAGGTAGTATTTTTTATTTTCCCTTGATAACAATGTAGACTTTTTACAGTGTCCAAAGCAAACAGACAAGAAAATCATCTTTACGTTAGAGTATAATGTATTGCCTTTTATAGGCTTAGTTGTTACTGAGGTAGAAACAAAAGATTTGCACCGTATTTACAAAGTGGTCATTGCTTAATATTTTTCAGTCACTGACTACTATTTACTAGTTATCTCATTTAAATATGACAAGAACTTAATTCATAGATTTCAAAATAGACATCAAGTTCAGGTCAAACTCTATTTAGGGTGAAACCAGATAATCTACATCAGTTTATGTTATTTTTGTGGACTGTTCTTTAATCTTAGGAAAACTTTTTTTAAGATCTGATATTAAAATTAAGATTTATATTTGTGTGAATTTTAGTTTGAGTGGGGGAGATTTTAAAAAGTAGGTGAGTGATTACCAGACTTAACCATATTATAGATGCATGGAAGAACTGTAAATTTCCATAAAGTTAATGTATTCATTGAGACCCACCATTATGATAGAGACCATTTGGTGACTAATGCAAGATGAAACTCTCAGCTTGGAAAGTAACAAGGAATAGGATGTACTTATGAGCTTCTGTTTTTTATGTATGGATGCCCCCTCAGAAAAATATGCAAAGGGGTAACTGGCTTGGAAATTGGTATTTGTGCACACTAAATCCCACTCATGGTTTTTGCCTATTTAAACCTTCTCTCAATGAAAATGTATCTGTGAATGATCGCTTGTATTGAAGGTGGTACTTTCGGGTGGTTAACTGAAAAATGCATAAGATGTAATTTGTTGTTAGAGGAAATAAGATACAACTGGTTTTGACTAGACTGAGAGATATATAACATAACTCAATGGTGTTAAGTGTTAATTTTCTCCATATTGAGTCTGATTTTTTTCTCATTGCTTTCAAAATCCCAAGTTGACTATTAGTGTTGTTTAATAAATGCTGCTGAACACTTAATATCCACATGCCCAAACACAGCTCACATACAGTGCTTTTTCAGGAGTTAAATGTGCCCAAAAGCACAAATGTAACTCTGAACAATTTTGAGAGATACAATGTTGGTCAGTGGATTGTCATTGTAGAATACATCTGTGTATGTTCTGATTCGGGACTGAATAAGCATAAAATGGTATATAGTTATGTGTGTGGTTTACCACCCATCCCAACCACACCCGTTTTTATTAATTTTAAACCTTTTATGTTACTGGTAAATTATGAGCCCATAAATTTTGTAAAAAATTAATTCTGAATATATTCAGCATTTTAAGTGTCAGGCATTTCACTGCCTTAACATTATTTTACTGATGGGAATGTTCTAAAACTTAAAGCAAAACGGTAGAAACTAGTTATCTTTGCGTGGTGTGTTTAAGGGGATATTTTAATTCTTAACAGTAAAAAATGAGCTCAGTGAACCTTTGCATACTTTGGTATGAGTTTATTAAGTACCCACAGACTGTCAGGGTGTCATCATGTCAGGGGACATCCATTAACAGCACAGATGAGAAAAGAGAATAAGGTAAGAGCTTTTATTTTCCCCCTTCCTCTTTTAACCTCTTTTGTATTACTTACTTATTCTAATAATGCATTGTGACATCACAATTATACATTGTGACATCACTATACTGCACTATGACATCACAATTATACACTGTGATATCACTATAGTGCACTGTGACATCACAATTATACACTGTGACATCACTATAGTGCACTGTGACATCACAATTATACACTTGTGACATCACTATCAGTGCACTATGACATCACAATTATACATTGTGACATCACTATACTGCACTATGACATCACAGTTATACACTGTGACATCACTATACTGCACTATGACATCACAATTATACACTGTGACATCACTATACTGCACTATGACATCACAATTATACATTGTGACATCACTATATTGCACTATGACATTACAATTATACACTGTGACATCACTATAGTGCACTATGACATCACAATTATACACTGTGACATCACTATACTGCACTATGACATCACAATTATACACTATGATATCACTATGCTGCATTATGACATCACAATTATACACTGTGACATCACTATACATGCACATTGTGACATCACAATTATTCTCTGTGATATCACAATACTGCACTATGACATCACAATTATACACTGTGACATTACTATAGTGCAATATGACATCACATTTATACACTGTGATATCACTACACTGCAATATGACATCACAATTATACATTGTGACATCACAATGCTGCACTAGGACATCACAATTATACATTGTGACAACACTATAATGCACTGTTACATCAGAATTATACACTGTGACATCACTATATTGCAACATGACAACACAATTATACATTGTGACATGACTATAGTGCACAGTGAGATCAAAATTATACACTGGGACATCACTACACTGCAGTGTGATATCACAATTATACACTGTGACATCACTAAGCTGAACTATGTCATCACAATTATACAGTATAGTTCACTATAACATCACAATAATACATTGTGACATCACTATACTCCACTATCACATCACAATTATAAATTGTGACATCAATAGAGAGCACTGAGACAACACAATTATACATGGTGACATCACTATAGTGCACTATTACATCACAAATATAAACTGTGATATCACTACGCTGCACTATGACATCACAATTATACATTGTGACATCACTATAGTGCACTGCGAGATCAAAAATATACACTGTGACATCAGTATTCTGCACTATGATCTCACAATTATACACTCTGATATCACTATATTGCACTGTGACATTACAATTATACACTGTGACAGCACAATACTGCACTATGACATCACAATTAAACACTGTGACATCACTATTATGCACTATGATATCACTATTATTCATTGTGACAACACTATAATGCACTGTGACATCACTGTTATACACTGTGACATCAGTAAGCTGCACTATGTCATCACAATTATATACTATAGTGCATGATAACATCACAATTATACCTTGTGACATCACTATACTGCGCAATCACATCACAATTATACATTGTGTCATCATTAGAGAGCACTTTTACATCACAATTATACAATGTGACACCAGTATGCTGCACTATGATACCACAATTATACACTATGACATCACTATACTGCACTATGACATTCCAATTATACAGTGTGACAAAAATATAATGCACTGTTATATCACAATTATACACTGTGACATCACTATTCTGCATTATGACATCACAATTATTCGCTTTGACCTCTCTATGCTGCACTATGACATCACAATTATACAATGTAACAACAATATAATGCACTCTAATGCACTGTGACATCTCTGTTATACACTATGTCATCACTACACTGCACTATGACATCACAATTATACACTATAGTGCACTATAACATCAGAATTATAACTTGTGACATCAGTATACTGCACAATCCCATTACAATTATACATTGTGTCATCATTAGAGAGCACTGTGACATCACTGTTATACACTGTGACATCAATATGCTGCACTATGACATCACAATTATACACTATAGTGCACTATAACATCACAATTATACATTGCGACATCACTATACTGTACAATCATATCACAATTGCACATTGTTTCATAATTAGAGAGCACTGTTTCTTCACATTTATACACTGACATCAGTATGCTGCATATGATATTACAATTATACACTGTGACATCATTATTGTGCAGTATGACATCACAGTTATACATAGTGACAACACTATAATGCACTGTTACATCACAGTTATACAATGTGACATCACTATACTGCATTATGACATCACAATTATACATTTTGACAACACTATAATGCACTGTTACAACACAGTTACACTGTGACATCACTATACTGCACTATGATATCACAATTATACAGAATATTGCACTATAACATCACAATTATACATTGTGACATCTATAGTGACCACTGAGACATCACAATTATACACTCTGACATCACTATGCTACATTATGACATCGCACGTATACACTGTGACATCACTATACTGCACTATGACATCACAATTATACATTGTGACATCCTATAGTGCACTGTGAGTTCAAAATATACACTGTGACATCACTATTCTGCATTATGATCTCACAATTATACTCTCTGACATCACTATACTGTACTTTGACATTACAATTATACACTGTGATGTCACTATACTGCACTATGACATCACAATTATACACCTTGAAATAACAATTCTACACTATGAAACACTATTATACACTGAGACAGCACTATAGAGCACTGTGACATTACAATTATACACTGTGACATCACAATACTGCACTATGACATCACAATTAAACACTGTGACATCACTATTGTGCACTATGACATCACAATTATTCATTGTGACAACACTATAATGCACTGTGACATCACTGTTATACACTGTTACATCAGTATACTGCACTATGACATCACAATTATATAATATAGTGCACTATAACATCACAATTATACCTTGTGACATCACTATACTGCAAAATCACATCACAATTATACACTGTGACATCACTATAGTGCCCTATGACATCCCTATTATACACTGCGATATCACTATGCTGCACTATGAAATCACATTTATACATTGTGATAACAATATAATGCACTATTATGCACTATGACATCACAATTATTCATTGTGACAACACTATAATGCACTGTGACATCACTGTTACACACTGTTACATCAGTATACTGCACTATGACATCACAATTATATAATACAGTGCACTATAACACCACAATTATACCTTGTGACATCACTATACTGCAAAATCACATCACAATTATACACTGTGACATCACTATAGTGCCCTATGACATCCCTATTATACACTGTGACATCACTACACTGCACTATGACATCACAATTATACATTGTGACATCAGTATAGTGCACTGTGAGATCAAAATTATACATGGTGACATCACTATTCTGCAGTATGATCTCAAAAAATACACTGTGACATCACTATACTGCACTGTGTTATCACAATTTTACACTGTGACATCACTATACTGCACCATAACTTCACAATTATACATCATGAAATCACTATACTGCTCTATAACAATTATACACTGTGACATCACTATACTGCACTGTAACAGAGAATTCAAGTAGTGTAAAGAGAAGACTTTTCCTTGCTAGCCACTTTGGTTTACCTCTTGCCAGTTGCCTGGGCTCTGCCACGTTGTAGTTCCCAAATAACATACAAGATGCTGTATTAATTATGAAGCTGTTGACCTTTCTTGCTTCTTACTGGCTAGCTCTGACTTAAGTGTTTATCCCATAATTGTTAATCTAAGTATTTCTTATACTGGAGCAAAGTTCCAGACATCTTATTTCTCTGGCGGGCTACATCGTAACTTTCTATGTTTCTCCTACCCAGAGTCTTCCTGCACTCCTAGTCCCACCTATCTTGCTTCTCTATTGGCCAACAGTGCTTTATTGACATATACCCAGGACTTCCCCAACAAGGAAAAATAAAGGAGAGCAAGATAAGAGATAATATAGATATAGCCATTATGTATTTAAAGAGAAATCTGGCACTAGGTAAGTGTCCAGATGTCTACATGTATGACATCACCTATTAATGTAACTAATAGTGGAGAGGCTGCTTTCAATGCCCATCTCTGATATTGATGACTACCTTATATGCCATCCTAGAGCCTTCATTCTGTAGGTAACATTAGCAAAATCAGACACCCACAGCTAAATACTGAACTCCTGGAAACCAGTTGAAGTGAGGGAGGAAAGTTGATCAAAGGGGACAAGACTAGCCAGTTGAAATCCACAGAAGCAGCTGACCTGAACATGTGGGATTTCATGCTATTTACACGGAAAGCTGAGTAACAAGCAAAGGTCTAATCCAGAACCGCTGAACTTCTGTGTCAATGATGAGGCCTTGGAAATCTATGGGGCCTCTAGTAGTAGATGAGTATTTATTCATAGCATATTAATGAAATTTTAGAAACGATTCCACATAGTGGGTGTCTCTCTCAGTCTTGATACATGGGGAAGGGCCTAGGTTATGCTTCACATGATATGACAGACTTTGAAGATACCCACTGAATGCCACATCCTCCCTTACAAGCAGGAAGGGGATGGAATAGGTGGCTATTTGTGGTCAGCTGAGGAAGTGGTAAATGGAACTGATATTGACATGTAAAACAAACTTTTTTCTAATTTACTTTAAAAAATAGACAAAAAAAGAGATCACAAACCTGTAACTGCTCAGATACATTCTGTAAAAATATTACACTATAACCACTCAGTATACATCCCAAAGTGAATGCTCAAATGAAGATATTTATGTTCTGATGTCTCCATCATTAATGATCATGAATCACATAATCTCAAAATGAATACTTTGCTGAAAAAAGGAAAGTACATTGAGATCTCTTTGTATACACTGAATGTCATAAGACATGAGTTCGTCTCTACTACCTTCAACTACTTTCATTGCAGATATTTGTGGCAAGTTCTCCTGCCCTGTTTCTCATTTCAAGATGTTACCAAGATGTGGTCCTTATTTTTGATGAAGATGAAGAGACAATGTTTTCCTACATATCTCTGACTGGGATCAAATTCACTGTTCTCCTAAACACAAATAATATCAATCCCTCCCTTTAGCCTCCATCCAAGTTATTCCTCTTCATTCTTATTCTCATTTCCACATCTCTGCTCCCAGTTTTGGTATTACAACCTTGTATACCAAAACATCTGAACGGCACTTCCAGGAAACATGCCAGGTTTTCTCAACCTTATCTCTCCACATCTCCAAATCTCACCCTCTCTCCGTCCCTCCTCACACTGCCATTCTTCTTTCCCCTGAAACCTCTCCTTCTTCCTTTTAATGTCTCTCCCCTCTTTTAATTTTCCTTCTTCCTCTCTCGTTTGCACATCTATAGTAGAGGCAGAAGAACCTCATTCCCAATATCTCCAGTTCCCAACATTGGGATTACAAGAAAGTGCCCAGAAATGAACAAGTACCAATCCTACTACTTTGCCAGGGTCTTCCGAATTTAATTTGTTTTGTATGAGAAAATTTGTTTGTCTGCGTGGCTCAGATAAACCTAATTAAATCTTATGAGCCTAACATTCTCTTCAAATGTCTATACCTCAATGTGGGCATTGCATTCCTGCCTCTACCACACAGATGGTCACCACTGATGGGATGCCCTTCTGGATGTGCAAGTCTAATATATAAGGTGAATACCTGGAGATAGAAAGGAAAGGGAAGATGTCCGGCTGTTCTTGTTAAGATGCCTCTACTACATTGTAGAGTGCGAGTAGTTTTATATACAGTCTTACAGCACAGTGGAAAACCCTAGGAGGAAGAGATCATGTTCCACTCAGTGCTAGATGTTGATGTTATTGGAGCAAGGTAGGGGCAGTAAGCCAGGGATGGAAAATGGATAAACTTGGACTGGAAAACATGATGCAGCTATTAGATGGTCAGCGAATCACAGAGAACACATGGGGGCTGGAATCCAACAAGGTTCTGCTACTGGGAAATATTTAGAGATACTGTGGTGTACAAAGAGATATGTAAAGATATAGAAACACAGAAGCTCAGATTATAGATGAAATAAACTAAGAGTACAATTGTGGAGCCAAGCTTTTTCACCATGGCACTGAATACAATTAATACTTATTGTTAGCGGATCCTTCAGTGATGGAGGTAAGGCATTCGCACAACTCCTTTGTTTCTCTGGTTACCAGCTCTAGCTAGCTGTTCAGACTCTGCATCTGATGTTTCACCTCCTTTTAGTTGAGGAGTGCTGGGTTTGGTGTTAGCTCTCCAGCAGCAACTGTGTGGTGACAAAGACAAATAAAATTCCATTTTGACCAAGTATAGAGGATATACAGACCACTCTGAGCCATCAAAAATGTTTGAAAATGCTCCTGACCTGTGTCTTAGTGATGCATAAGTGCATTTTGACCCATGCTTGAGATGCTCCTGCAGCAGATCGCAGTCTCATACCTCTGCAGGTAGTTGCATATCTTACATTCCTACTGTCCCCTGTCACCTCAGAAAATACTTCACATAAAGAAAGAAAGCACTTTCTCAGGCTTATTAACAGCTGCAGATTCTCCATTCAAATTACCTGTAGAATTCACAAGTCTTTGGGTTTAGTAGCTAAGATGCAATTAACATAGCCCAGAGGCATGCAGGTCATACTTGAGAATTCAAAACATCCTGACATGTCATCCTAAGCAAGTGGTTATATGTTTGTGGAAAAGCCATACAGGTGCACAACATGGTCAGAAAACCCACTGACAAATCAGGGCACACAATGAAGTTTCACAGTACATAAAGTTATCCACTGGTGTTGAAGTACAGTGATGACCAGCCTAGAGATGGCAGACTCCACCAGTCCCTCCAACCGGTTGATCTCAATTTGATACTGGTCCTCCATCAACCATCACTTTATTGTAAGATTTAAATCCAAGAGATCTCAGGAGATCATATTTGCCCTGCCAGTTCCTGGCATCTGGGAGAGATAAATTTCTAGCCTGGAATCACTGTTTTCAAGAAGGCCTATCAGGCAGTGAGTACAATTTCTCCCGAGAAGCCCCAAATCCTCTGCTACCTTACACAAAGTACAAACTAAACATAACCTTCTCCAGGGAGCTTCACATCTTCTTATCAGAACTTCATGTACTTCCTTTTGAAACTTATCTTCGTTGACAGATTGCAGGCTCTGTGTAGTGTGCATTTGCTTGTTGTGAAAATATTTTTCTTTTTATAAGAATATAGGAGTTTATAAGGGTTTAGGAGTTCAACCCATGAAGGTTTATGTTGTAGGAATAATAAGAGCACAAATTATATTGTTGTGTAGGTTTGCCTAGTGACTATATTTTCAGTTTGCCAGGTTGCTCATATCCACCTTGTATCTAAACCATTCCATGAATATCTGATCAAGCCTGGTTACATTGTTAATTTTTATCTAAATTAATATGTCTAGACAATTGGGGAAATCTTGCCATCCCAGCGAACTTCTCAGTTAAACTTCTAGTGGATTTTAAAAGATAAGGAAAAACAAGCCAGGCCCATGTGCACCCTACCCTAGTTTGTTGGGGATTGCAGGGAATGATCTCAGATGTTTTTCAGTGTCTCTTATTTCCACAGATCGCTCTATCAAACATCCCACTTATTCATTTCTATTTATATTATTTTTGATAGGGTCTTATGTAGCAAAGATTTGCCTAAGCCTCATTATTATTCTGTCACTAATTCCCTGTTACTAGGATCAGAGATATGTCACAACACCCCATGACTGGAATCTCATCATTTCTGTTTGGTTCATTTGATGATATCAATATCCTCTTCAATATGGTGACTAATAAATGAAAAATATCCTCCTGTCTGTTCTCTTGTCTACATTGTCATTATTTGCTTAGTCATCTTACCAGTCCATCACTACAAGCACTAAATTTAAATATTATATGTTTATCTATAGAGTCTCCATGTATGTCTGCCCTTCATTTGATATTTTTGTCCTCCAAATGATTGACTGTCACACTCCAGTAAGGCCAAGAATTCAGGTTTGGAAACTTAGTGGCATCTATGAAAACTGCCTCTCCATAAGATGTTACATGGCTCATTTTCCATTCTTTCCTCTCCCAATAATAAGACTGAATTTACGAAACTGCACATGGTTGGCAAGTTCCCATCTCTCAGTTACATTTCTCGACTGCATCAGAACTTCATTCATCTGCCACAACTACTCCAATGCAAGCGTCAAATTCATTTAACTGTCAATTTGGACACCATAAGACATGTCATTGAGAACAGGTGATAGAATGCTGTAAATACGAGGAATTTTTATATGGAAAACAAGAATAAGGGTCTCAATCCACATTTAGACTCTGGACAGTTTAGTCTGAGAAATGTTGGTTGACACTCCCACAGCTTCATGCTGCCAACTTACTTATCACACATAATTTATTACTATATTTTGAAGGTTTATCTCGTATAAGTTCCAGGATGGACTCAACATGTCTTCTGCCTCAGTCCCTCTTCCTTTCTCAATTTCAGAGAGGAGGGGTTGCATTCCACTGAATACACAGCACTCCACATGCTTCTATGACATATTTGTCACTGCCACCTTCTTCTTCTTCTTCTTCTTCTTCTTCTTCTTCTTCTTCTTCTTCTTCTTCTTCTTCTTCTGCTTCCTCTTCTTCCCCTTCCATTTCTTATGTTTTTATGATTATTAATACTTTTTTGTATATGGAAACCAGGGTTTCTTGGAACTCATTTTATACACAAGATATGCCACAATCTAATAAAAATCCCTCTGTCTCTCTCTGCCTCCAAATCTTGAATTATATGAAATGAGCCAACATGTACAGTTAGAAATAATTTGCATTTATTTTCTGTGTATGTCTTTTGACAGAATGTACACATGTGTAGTCAATTAATTTCTGAGGACCAAGAAAAGTATAAGAGACAATTAGATACCCTAGAAATGGAGCTATGGTAAACTGTTAGCCATGTGGTTGTTGCGAACCAAACTTTGGTCATGTAGCAAGAGCAGTCTGTGCTAAAATCCACTGAGCAGTCTCTCCCAAACCATATTATTGTTTTAAATATCATTCCTCTTATTTAGTGAAAATTCATAATTTTGATTCCTAATCTCAAATTGCAAGTACAGAGATTGTTCAACTGAGGCACTACACTTCCTGGTTTCCTTTTTTCATTTCTCAAAATGCCAGCTTTAATTTAAATTTCAATTAAGACTATTTCTTCCCAGGCAGTGATGGTACTTGTTTTTAATCCCAGCACTCAGGAGATAGAGACATGCACACATCTGTGAGTTTGTGGCCATCCTGATCTACAAAGTGAGTTCCAGGTCAGTCAAGACTCTTTCACATATAAACTCTTACAATATAAAATCAGACAACTTTGGATGGTCAGGGTGGTTTTGCAGTCCTTTAATTCCAAAACTTGGCAGACAGAGAGAAGCAGAACCCTAAGTTAGAGAGTTGGCCATTAAACAAATAGAGATCCATAAACCAACATTGACTCACCCATGCTGACCAAGAAACCATGAATCTTTTGATATCATTACCACCCCAACAAATCATAGAGGTGAGCTTGTGCCCTTGTCTCTGGAACCACTTCTCCTTGACCATCTGGGCACTCCTTGCCTGTGGACTGCAGGAAGATCTACTAAACCACGGTGGACAAAGCAAGTGCCAGGAGGCTGACAGAGCATTGCTGGTCCTCTGCCCACCCACTGGGAGAGGGAATGCCTCAGACACCCATTGTGAGACCCTTCAAAGTATTGCACCTATCTTCAATCGCTGGAAAAGAACCTTGTATTGGTACTCACCAGGAGAAGGAATTACATCACCTGCACCCACTGGAAGAGAGAATGGGAAGATGACAATATAAGAACACATTCAACAACAGAAAAACAAATATGTTAGTAAAAATGTCTAGGGACTTTTCACCATATTCACCATATTTGAGGTTTCTCTGAATAACTCTGGCATGAACATTGGCTCCCCCCATCTGTCTCAATCTCACTGTATTGTGTAAATTAACTACCATCACAAAAGGAAATTTTTTGTTTACATTTCATTGTAAAAACTTTAAATTTTTCAAAATTCAAATATTTTCCTCATAAACACTGAGTTTATGAATAGTTTAAATGTTATGTAGTAAGAGAATTAAATGAAATACAAGGGGAAATATCAACAAGTATATCTAAATAATTTCAACACTGACTCATGGTAAAGAATAGAACTATGCTTTGAGAGATAAATTAAATTACAGAAAGTAAGGAGAAATTCATGTAAGTTAGAATAAGTGTTAAACAATACATAGGATATTTAAAAATGAAGATAAATAGTTATACCTACAGAAATAACTGTTTTTCCCTCTTCAAGAAAATTAGTATAATTATAACGCAGAAAGAGC